GTGGTCGAATATGGACTCAACTTGTCAAATAGCCGCAATGTGATGCTTGCCAGAAGATAAACAGCTGCTATAGAAAGCCACACTTCCCATTTCAGCACCTTAACAGTTCTTGATAGAATGTGAAAGACTATAAACTGAGACCACAGACCTCTGTAAATTTGAACATCGAGTAGCGCGCAACCGGCTTTTTCATCAAAATTGTTATACCGACGGGTCTGTAGTAAGGCAGCGTAAAGTCCACAGCAAACTCGCGTTCAGCACTCGCGCTCAGAGAGGTCAACGCAATGTCTGCTGATCCCGAAACTTAATTATTGTACTTGTAGAAGTGTGAAACTTCGGGGAAAAAATCAACAAAAAATTAAGATAGTTATTACCAAGCATTAAAAACCTTTCTTATATGGAAGAAAGTATATCTCAAATCTTGAAAGGCGAACGATAATACGGATGATGCGATATCTCAAATCTACTTGTTTACCCTTTATATACTTGAAGCGCAATGAATTCATTTTATACTAACCCAAGGCACCAATAAGGCCATTCCAATTACCATCTTGTTCTCCACCAAACAAGCCATCCTCCACCTCATATATGGTATATGTAAAATTCAGCTGAAAATTGTGAATCGTTCTGTGCAAACGTTGTCAAGAATTAACAACCTTTTCCGCAATCATATCAATGAGATCTATGCAGAAACCTTCATAAGGCTTTTCGGGACCGCCGCTCAACTGTACGAATGGTGCTTGCTGAAAGAATGGTTTAGATTTAATAAAAGGTATCCAGTGGCACCAACGCAGTTTACCTCCTCGATGCTTCAGATCAACAAGGCTTGAAACACGACATAGTGCTTACGATAAAGAAAATTGATTACTGCCATAAAAACGTTTTTTGATCGCGAAGTTTGAGTTTTCTCCAGTTATCCATTTCATGCATTTGCACATCCAAAATCAAAAACGCAAGAAATTATGAAGCTGTCTACTTTCGGGTCAGTGACATCGCTTTTGTAAGATATAAAACGTTTGGTGAGTTCGTAAGAAGGCTTCACAAAACTTCTTCAATGTCTTATCTAGCATTAAATCTTATGCAAGCGTTGCAGCTCCCGATCTCATACCAGCCTTAGCACTGAATTGGCACACTTTTGAACAGACTCATACTCTGAATCCCGAAAAGTTCGTGATGAGGTGAGCACACTGTGTGTATGATAATATACTAGGTCGTTCCAAAAGTACTGTCCGATTTTTGTTGCCTTATGTTTGATGCAGCAGTTC